TTAATTTTATTTTTGACACAAGGTCTCCTTGTGGCCCCAGCTAGCCTAGAACTCACTTTGTAGACCAGGCTTGCCTCAGTCTCACAGAGATCTGCCTACTTCTGCCTCCTGAGTCACCCCTGGCAGGTAGGCTTGGGCTATATAAGAAATCAGGCTGAACACAGGCCAGGGGAGCAAGCTAGAGTAAGCAAAGTTCTTCCATTGTCCACGCTTCAGTTCCTGCCTCCAGTTTCCTGCCCTGAGTTCCTGCCTCAGCTTCTCTTGATAATGGACTGTGAGCTGTAAGCCAAATAAACCTTTTCTTCTTAAAGTAGCTCTTGGTCAATGTTTTTTTTTTAATCACGACCATAAAATGCTATGGATGCTCTGTTCCATTCAAAATGCCGTTTTTGACAGGCATGGTGGCACACCTGTAATCTCAGCATTGAGGAGGCAGAGGCAGAGGCAAAAGCAGAGGCAGGCAGATCTCTATGAGTTTGAGGTCAGCCTGGTCTACACAATGAGACCCTGTACAAAAAAAAGTGGAATTATTCCATTTTCATAAAAGTCCAGGTGTACATAGCACCTTCCAGGCTAGCCAGAGCTACACAATGAGACTGTGTCTCAAAAAAACAAATGAACAAAAAAAGACACTTTAAAAATGATCTTTAAAAATCTTTAAGCATTTCCTCATCCAGAGCCTTTTGAATGAAATTAGAATTCCAGTCTCACACTCGCATTCCTCTTACATCTTTACTTTCCAATCAGCACAGCAGAGGAGAGCTGAAAGGAGAAGTGAAACCCTACCTTGCAGAGACTCTGCAGTGTCAAAGCTCTGACTCAGGCTTAGCTCAGAGCTTGTCACAGGAGTCAGCAGGAACAGACAGGCTCCATAAGTGCACTGGAGCTGAGGCTTTTAAATGAATGCAATTTAAACACTGGCGATGTTCATGTCTGAGCTGAACAATCATACCCTGCTTATATGCTTTATTAAAACTCATCACGGGATTTGAATGTATGAAAATACTTGACTCTCAAATACTTAACGTTTTTTAATTAGAAAATATGTGCATGAGACCTCTCCTTCTTTTAGCTCAGACTCCAGCAGCTGAGTAGATTGCGACAATACATGGCATGGACGAGTTGTCCCAATCTGTATCCATTTCTCTCCTTTAGAGTCTATTGACTCTGAATTTGTATTTTCCCCCTCTTCCCTCTGAGTTTACATGCTCAGTTGGCCAAATAGTTGGGAATCCAATTTGCAAGTATATATGGAAGCATTATAAATTTATTGTCTGAAGTCTACAGGAGAAATTGTCATTAAGAAATCAAAGCCGGTGTGCCGCCTTTCTCGGCTGGCCCCTGGCACGTCCGCCAGCTCCTCCCTGGCCATGGCGTTCACGTTCGTGGCCTTCTGCTACATGCTGGCTCTGCTGGTCACTGCCACGCTCATCTTCTCCGCCGTCTGGCATATTATAGCATTTGATGAACTGAAGACTGATTACAAGAATCCTATAGACCAGTGTAATACCCTGAATCCTCTTGCGCTTCCCGAGTACCTCATCCATGCTTTCTTCTGAGTCATGTTTCTTTGTGCAGCAGCATGGCTTACACTGGGTCTCGATATGCCCCTTTTGGCTTACCATATTTGGAGGTATATGAGTAGACCGATGATGAGCAGCCCTGGACTCTATGACCCCACAACCATCATGAATGCAGATATTCTAGCATACTGTCAGAAAGAAGGTGCAAATTAGCTTTTTACCTTCTAACGTTTTTTTTTTTTTTTAGTACCTATGTGGCATGATCTATGTTTTGGTGAGCTCTTAGAACAACAGAAGACTCGATCCAGTTAAGTGCATGCAAAAAGCCACCAAACAAAAGGATTCTATCCAGCAAGGTCCTGTTTCCAAGAGTAGCCTATGGAATCTGACCAGTTACTTTAACAAATGACTCCTTGTTTTTTAAATGTTTCTACATTTTTGCTTGTGGAAAGACTGTTTTCATATGTTATATTTGGATAAAGAATTTAAACGGAATTATGTGCAAATTAATATAAGATGATTACCTCTGATGTTGACAGGTTGAACTTGCACTCCGTAAGGAACAGCCATAATCCTCTGAGTGATTACATTAATTACTGATTGTCCTTAGCCCATTGGAAGCTTGGTTTATAGGAACTTGTAGGGTCCATTTTGGTTTTATTGAAATGCTGTCTAAATATAAATTAGCTGTAGCTATCAGGTGTTTCTGGTGAACTGAAAATGTGTATCAGCCTTGTGGGAAACTTCATAGGTTTCCTCATTTATTACTGTAGATGATTATAATGGATACATTTACACAATAGAGTGGGATTATTTCCCTCTGGACTTGAATATTATCCTTATATTGCCTGAATGAGAGACTTCCCATATTTCCATCAGAGTAATATACTTGCTTTAATTTTTAAGCATAAATGAACATGATACAAAAAAATACATGGTGAATTACCTGTAAAGAATGCATTTAAAGTTATTTTAAATGTGTTTTTATTTGTAAGACATTATATACTAAGAAAATAGTTATGTTATGCTTACTCTTCTAATCTGATGGTAAAGGTATTCTTAAGAATTTGCAAGTATGTTAGATTTTCAAAACTTGAATGAGAGAATTGTGTAACCACCCTGCTGTTCCTTTAGTGCAATACAATAAAACTCTAAAATTAAAAAAAAAAAGAAAGAAATCAAAGGCAAGATCTCGTCCACTGCACCTTGATTCCCCTACAACCTGAGCAGCTCCATTCTTGCCCGTCACTCTGTCCCCCTTCTAACCTTGAGCCCAGGCCTACTCCTGCTCAGAAGCCTCAGATCTCTGGATTAGATTCCTAACCCAGACTAGCTTAACCCTGTAGCATACTTTGTCAGACCCTCCACAGGATGTCCCCACCCCTACCTTGCTCCTGGCCTCCTGATCTGCCTGCCTCAGAACTGCCTACCACCCTGATAAGGCAGATCCTGCCCACTGTGTCTTGATTCCTTTGCAGCCTGAACAGCTCCACTCTCTCCCTGCACTGGATTCCTCTTCTAGTCTTAGGCCTAGACCCACTCCTGCTCTTTCTGCCCTAGATCTCTGGACTACCCTCTTAGTCCAGACCCACCCACTGCATCCTGATCTTGTGCACCCAGACTAGCTCAATTCTCCAGCTTCCTTTGTTAGACCCTCTACAGGCTGTCTCCACTCCGGTCTTGCCCTTGGCTCTGCTCCTGATCTGTCTACCACAGACTTGCCTACTACCCAGACCAGCCTACTACCATGTACACACCAACTAACTTTTCATACCAGATCAAAAAGCAACCAAGCTACATCAACAATATAAACAAAACCATACTTCAACTAAACAAAGGCAGAATAGAATTTTCTATTGGTCACACAACCAACAAAAGATATCCATATGCCCAAACGGCCACACAAAAACACAAATAATATGAAAAACCAAGAGAATATGTCCCCAACAAAACCCATCAGTCCTACAAAAGTTCGCTACAATGAGAAATGCCCTGAGGAAATCCACAAGACACAGAATTTAAAAGAACAATCATAAACATGATCAAAGAACTTAAAAAAAGCACAAACAACCCAAACAACACAAAGAAGATAGACATAAGCTTATGATGGAAGCTCAAGAAAAATACAAAGATGCAACTGGAAGAAATAATAAAAACAATTCAGGACTTGGAAAGTGAATTCACAAAGGAGACAAGAAATACTGAAGAAAATCCAGGCTGAAATGAAGATGAAATTCAAAACCTCAGTAAACCAATTTGAAACAACAGGAGAAAGCCTCACAAGCAGATTGAATGAAATGGAAAACAGAATATCAAGACTAGACAACAAAGTTGAAGAACTGGACTCCTTAAGCAAAGACTATAAAAAATTTAAATACACAGGAATGGAATATGTAGGAAATATGGAACACCATGAAAAGACCAAATCTACGCATCACAGGCATATAGGAAGGAGAAACTCAGGTCAATGGCATTGACTAGATCTTCAACAGGATTATAGAAGAAAACTTCCCAAAATGAAGGAAAGACATACTTATACAGATACAAGAAGCACATAGAACACCAATTAGACAGGACCAGGACAGAAACTCCCCATGGCATATCATAGTAAAAACACTAAATCTACAGAACAAAGAAAGGATACAGAAAACTGCTGGAAGTGTTTTTAAAAAATAAATAATTTATTGAGAAATTCATACATTCATATAAGGTGTTTTGATCAAATCCATGCCCACTCCCTCCCCTCCAACTCCTCCCATATCTTCCCATCACTTTTTTCTGATAACTTCACATACTCTTTCTTTTTCTTTGATTTATTTATTTTTTTATAGGGCTTTTGGCCTACTCTAACATTCCCAGCTCTGAAGAGGTAACCCTAAAATCTTTGAAGGATTAGATAAAAGCTCCCAAATGTTTTCGATATTTTTGGCCTTTGGAACGGAGTAGGTTGCTAAGAGGCCCAAGGACATCGTGAGTATTAGCCAAGAAACTAACTACTTTGGGGTCTTTTTACCCTTACTGCCTAGCGAATTCCTACCTCCCATTCTTATCACAACATCGTTTGAAAAGGTTACCCAAATTGCCAATAGGGAATCAGGACACAGACCACTCTGTCTTCCATGCTGAACATGGATGCAAGGTGAGGCAACTGGAGTAGCCCTTAAGTGGGTCTCTCTAAAAGACTCCCAAAAGACCCCTGTAACTCTTATCTCAAGGAGGAAAAGAAAGTCTTTGAATTGTGAACAGGAGATGTGAAGGTGAAGTAAAGGGAAGAATAATTAGCATTACAAGTTCTAGACAGGGAACTAGAAAAAAGTCAGAACAGGCAATTTTCAAACGTTCATATGAGAGTCGATTGGTAGGTATTTCTTGACAAGGGCTTCCAAAAGCATCCCTCTCTTGGGTTCCTCCTCATTTTCCTTTGTCCTCCAAGGCTGGACTCTAAGAGTGATGGATTCAGGATTTTTTTTTCAGATATTTTGATAGCTGTTGCAGTGTCAGTTCCCTCTCAAACGCTTCTAGATAGGGGGAGAAAACAAATTTATCCATTATTTTAGAACAGTAGCTGGTTGTCTCCCTTATCTATAGGTAGGCACGACAGTATTGGAAACCAAGATTTGAAGCCTTACATCTGAGCAGCACTTTCTGGTTAGGAATAAAATCATCAATGAGAAACAGTTGTCCAAATAACTTTTTTTGGTCTTTTTGAGACAGGGTCTCCCTGTAGCCCCAGCTGTCCTGGAACTCACTATGTAGACCAAGCTGGCCTTGAACTCAGAGATCCGCCTGCCTCTGCCTCCCAAGTGCTGGGATTAAAGGCGTGCGCCACCACACCTGGCCAAATAACTTTTTATACAGATTTAAGCCTAAAGTCTGGGAAATGTAATCCCTTGAACTCTTAAAGAAATATGCTGATGACTTTACTCTTTGGTTATACTTTCCTTTTAGGTGTTTAAGACCATACAGTTGGCCCAAATAAATCAATTTATTTTTACACTTAAGATCATTTGAGGATATGTTCCTCAGCGGTCACATGGTCTTGGGAGGAGCTCCTGGCTCCTTTCTTTTACCAGTTCCACCTATGTGAAGATAAGTCAAAGGTCCTGCTTGACCATGTCTGGCTTCACTTGGAGGCATGAATGAGATGTTTCCTCTGAGTTGACCCTCTCTTTGTAGACTGGACATTGGTTCAAGTCTATCTAGTGGGGTCTCATGTCCTCTCTGAACAAGAGGACAGATGACTCATCACAGTTACAGGATATTTTGAGAGATGTTCCATAGTCCCCTGGAACATAGTTGACCTTGGAGGGCAAGGGGCAAAAACTGTCCTTTAAGTCCCTCTGACCACATTAGTATAAGCCTCAAACTATGGCTGTTAAACATCCAGTAATGTTAGCTCCATCAGTCTGGTACTTTTAATTATCATGTGCTATGTAGATAAGGCTTGGGCAAAAAAATCAAGTATTCTCAGATAAACTTTGATATTTATTTTGTTCCTTAAACTAGTTGACTAAACTATGACCATAGAAATTTTAAGATTATGTGTATATTATTTTTGTCTCATCCTTTATATATCATAACAAACCTACACAGACCTTCATCACTTGCTTAGGTTTTCTCATTTTTTCTATTTTGGAAAATATCTCCATTCCCATAACCTTTTAACATCTTTTACATTCTCATTTTCTTTTTTTAAAGTAATTATGGGACATAATAGCATTAACAAATAAATTTTCCATCTGTTGTGAGACGTCTTTTCCTGGGGATGCTAAGCAATGCTTACTCACTTTTAAGGTTCTACTGTCAAGCCAATGTTTAATTAAAGTTTTACTGGGGAGCCAATGGATTTATTGAGCTTACTTACTAAGATAACTGAGGGGTTGCTGGGGTGTATGTATGACCTGAGGGTATGCACCCTGGAAAGCCTTTACTCAGTATGGGTCATGCCTTCTCAGCCTTCCCCAGATTGTATACTTTAGCCCACCCCAAATCCAGGAGGCCATGTGTGATTAAGGCCAAATTACATACAGTTGGCTAGGAAGAGTGGCTGGATAATCCGGTGAGGGTCCAATGACCCTGCTTGGCCCTCCTTTAATGAATGAGCACAACCATCAACAAGCCCAATTGTGACAGTGTTTAGCGATCAGGCAGAGGTGAAGTCGTGATGATAGTAGTTATTTTGTGCAGAAGGGACTGCTGTATAGCATCATCTTATTAAAAGGACCTGGAATTTAAAAAGATTTGGTACTAGAATCCACCTATGAGGGAGAACATATGACGTTTGTTTTTCTGAGTCTGTGTTACTTCACTTAGTATAACAGTTTCTAGATCCACACATTCACCTGCAAATTTCATTATTTCATCTTTCTTTACTGCTGAATAGAGCTCCGTTGTGTAAATATACCCTAGGTTGCTTCCATCTCTTAGGTATTGTGAAAAGAGCAGCAACAAACATGGATGTACAAGTGTCTCTGCAATAGGACGAGTTCTTTGGGT